TCAGCAGGTGTAACTTTATTCAGTAATTATAAGTTTTATAAAAAGTGAAAACCGCTAGCAATCCCTTGAGTTATTATTTCAGAAACATATTTGATTAATATCTTTCTCTCTGTCTCTGTTTTTAATATGTTCTTTGCCAAATGTATTCTTTTTTATTCAGTATTCTCCCCTGCTCAGTCTCTTTGCTTTTTGCTCTGCTTGGCCAAAACCAAAAAAATCCTAACAACAAACCCAAAAAACCTACAACTTTTATTTTATTCAGTGACCTTATTCCAGTATGCAGCTTCTGGGTTTTTTTTTTTTCTTTTCTTTGGTGCTTCCTTTTTAAAATTTAACCTTGTGTCTTTTTTGTTCTTCCTTCCTGTTAGTTTGCTGTGGGCAACTGCTAAAGGAAGCTGTTGCAGACAAGACAAAACTTGGAGAACTCATTAAGCCTTATATTGACAATGGATACCCAGGTAGGGCACGTTGTTGTCTCATTACACTGTAGTTACGAATTTGTGGTGAAAAATAAATTGTGAGTGAATTCTTCTTGGTCGGATTCTAATCTGAGTTACATCAGAGTAATCTGGAAGTTGATTAATTCCACTCGTTACATGTGATTTGTAGCACTGCATAACAGAAGTTAGATTTCTAAGCTCTTCGATATCTTCAAAGCAAATAGTTCACTGTTCCAGTGAAATTCAGATTTCTCGTATGCATTCCAAAATTTGAATTCCGTGTTTTTATCTCTAAATCAAAATCAGAATTCTGATATAGGTGTATAATTTTAAAATATTTAAACTGTTATTTAAAGCACAGTATTGTGTTTCATTTTTATTTCAGGTGGGCTGTAAGAAAGACTCTGCTTTTGTGTATGGATTTTGACTTTTAGAATGCTACTGTAGATTCCTCTACTTTCACGCAAATATTTTAAACTTAAAAATAAAGTTTCTTTGCACTTCATTCCTATCAGCATTTTTGGTTGTAGGAGGGGATTACCACAAAGAATATCTAAGCATACTTTGCTTTTGGGAGGCTCTGCAGTGATTTCAGATAAATCATAAATGCTGTAAGCTCCTTAGGGCAGCAGCTTAAACTTACCTGTTTGCTAGTTGTCTTGCACAAGGATAGCTCTCTGTATGTGGTGGGTATTAAAAATCAGAAAAGATCCGTAGTTCTAAAGGATAAGTTGTATTTCAGTAGGGTGGAAGAATGTTTATTTTGCCGAATTACAGTGGCCTGGAAGAGAAACTTTCAGTCCTGTTTCTGGCAAGAGGCCAAATGGTTACCAACGACACAAGTATAAGGAGACAATCTTGCTGAAGATTGAGAAATCTCGGTTAAGCCTCAGTATTAATGGAATTTTGAGCAAACCCCCCCTGAGCAAAGAGAAATCTTCATTGTCTCTTATTTTTGGCAAAGAAAGTCATTTGGTGAGGTGGAAAGCTTGAAAGTCCCTTTTTTTTGCACAATAGCTTAATTCTGAGACTGAATTACACAGATCTGAAACATGAGCCTATAAAATTAACTGAGGTTCCCTTGATACCATACCAAGAGATTCAGTACTTTTCTAAGCGTTTCAAAAAGACCTTTGGCAGCCTGCAGCTTTGGGCATTCTATCCCTCTGTCAGTCACTTTATCGAGCCACATTTTAACTCTAAACTTCATCTCTAGTGAATGGATTGCATTTATTCGTAATACAGTAACTTGGCTAGTTCAATGCGTTAATTTTCTGTGGCAGCCACCATGTTGCTGGGACTAGGAGCTTATGTAGGAACCGTGGGAGTGGAAAGCATGAATGTCTACAGCCCGAAGAGAGAAGCTGGGTCTTCTGTAACATGGGCACAGAGATCTAGGAGAGGATTTTCTGATTTAGAGATACTGCTAATCAGAACGGCCATTTAACATGAAGGCAAGAGGTCTTAGCGTATATTAATTGCAACGTATCCTAGATCTTTATGTATGTACCCTTCTTCGTGGGTATCGCCCAATTGACCTGAATGTGGCTACTTGTGTATGAAGTCTAACTCACATGTGGAGATCATTTTAAGCTCTGGGCCTTTTCTGTCTTTTTCATGGTATCCATTAATTTCAGAATCTTATGTGTGTACTGTAATTTCACTTTCTTCTCATCTCTGTGAAGCAGAGGATAGCCACTGTAAATTTTGCTCTCTAAATTTCAGTTATGGCTGAGATGGGAGTTTGGATGATCGATTTATTCAAAGATAGGTCCTTTAAGAGCTTTCTTTACTAAAACGCTCTTTGTGTATTTTATGAACTTCATCTTAGCCATTAAAGTTCCTTAAAGGAGATACCAAAAGCATTCCCAGTAGAGGAAAATAATTGCACAGGCTGTACTTTTTAGCCAGTCCTAAAAATATGCACATCCTCAGTCCAAGGGAGCTGCTTTCATTTCAGGAAAATGAAATTGAAGTTGTAATTCCTTTCTTCCTCCAAATTAGAAATTATTTCAGATTTAGATCAATTTTTTTAATATAGCATGCAAGGATAAATCTGTACGATGCTTCTGAATGTTAATGGGAATCATAACTATATTTCTGTGCATTGTGCTAAAAAATTCTCCCTTAGTTTTTGCTTGTATGCACATGTATTTTATTTGGTGGGACATACTACAAAATTAAGGGCTGAATAAAAGTAAATATTATATAGCAATACCAGAAATAATAAGTTCTGTCATTTTGCTAATCCTCCTCTCCCAGGGATAACAAAGAATGAATTTACATCAGTAAACACTAACAAGAATTCATTACTGCCCTCACAAGAGGCTTGGAGAAAATGAAAGAACATAGTGTACTGAAGAGGAAAGATGAGCAAAGACTCCTTACTGTCTTGCTACAGAGTTACAACCAGGTTAATACAAAGGAAAGATTCTCACACTGTTATTGACTACATTCAGTTTCAAGAAAATCACATTTGAATAGAGTTAGTTTAGTCACTAGCAGACAGTGTTATAACGGGAAAAGCAATTAGAACTTCAAAATTGTCATTGCATTTCTAGTTACCTACCAAGTAAGTGTAGTTGTTCCTTTGGGCAAGGAAACATGCGAGTGATATTATCACAGAATACCCTGGAACCAAAGACAGACCATGAGAAATGTTGCACTAAAATCATTACTAGTCAAAATGAAACTAGTGCCATACAATCTTGAGGGCACGCCTCATATATTCTTAAAATGCCTGCCCTGGGGACTGATCTCAGTGTGGTCTGGTCACAATTCACAATCCCTTCTTCTGGTCACAATTGATTGCATACGATTAGTCATTTAAGATATGCCAAAAGGGTATGTTGTGGTGTCATAAAAAGGCTCCAAAACCAGCTTATTCAAAGCTAACTCCTTATTGAGGTATTGAGGCTGTCCACTGTCCATGCTGTTCTAGTTCTGGTTGACTCACTCAGATCTCTTCTTGGTTTTAGGATTCACAAACATTCTTTGTATTGCTTTTTCCTGCAATACTGCTTCATGTATACAGCATGTATTTCAAGAACAGCCCAGACAATTCTATTATTCACTCCAGAAGGCAACTCACTGCATTCCCATTTTCTGTATTTTCTGGTGTTTGCTGTCTCATAAAGACTTTATCTCTTGCTTTATCAAACTTCTCAATTTTGTATATGGTGACTTATTTTGCTTAATGAAGGTAGCATGGATATTTTTTAGCCCATTAATTTTTTAATTCCCAGGACATTCTAGTCTACAGTTGGTGCACACTAAATATTAAAAAATGCATTTTCAGTGAAAAGTTCAGCAACCTGACTGCTTTCTGTCTGTCATAAACATAGAGTTGTTCCTTGGACAACCAGTCTGAAATGCACAGACTTTTCCTTTAGGATATTGTGGTTTTCTGTGAATACTAGGCAATTATTGCTAACTATACTCTGGGCAGAAAATTACCATCATTGGAGTCTGATACCAGTCTTCCGGTCACTACCTCCAGTTAGTTTAAATCTTGTTCAATAATGCTAAATTTAGCGCACACCATTTGCTTGGGCAGCCTAGGAGGACTCCCATTTGGAGTAAGAGGTGAGCGTAGTGGCCAGAACCCTTCCCTAGACAGCAAGACAACTCACATAAATTAATTAATTCAGTTTGATTCTGAAACGTTGTGAAGAGACTGTTCCATAGACTGGTCCTCCCCTTCTAGTAATTCAGGCCATGGACAAACGATGCATATGTAGATAGCCTGTTCATAGACCCTACTGGCTTGATGAAGACCTTTATGCAGAATTCATGTCCTCAGGTTGTTCTAATTCTGAAGAGGGCTGGACTGTGTTCTGGACGTGGGCATGCATTAATTTAAAGTTCCATCTGCAGTATCTAAGTTTACCATTTTAAAGGTGTGTCTCGGCATTTGATACCCTGTGAGGAAAAAAAAAAGCCAACCTGCAGAAAGCGTTTCTGCTTCCCTCCTCCCCGTAAATGTCCTCGGTGTGTTTGCCCCTTGAGACGTTTGCATTTTATTAATGAAAATAGAAGCAGGAGCATTTTGGCATTGGGGGCATCACAAAAATAGGAAAGGTCATCAGTCAGTTGAAAAGAAATTTGCGTCCCATTCTGTCTGTTCAATTTTCTGTGTTTTCATGGTGAAATAGCATGGAGTGGTCACTGCTAATTAATATATCTGTTTGCAAGGCTGCAATAAATGGAGCCAAGAAAAGTGAAATTACAGGAAAACAGCATGAAGAGCAGGGGGGGGAAAAAACAACCCCACTCCCAAACCAGTAGGATCCTGCTTTTCAGCTGGGGGAACCGCTATTAGTTTGGGTAATTGTTTTTTCCACCCAAATGAAGATTCAGGTGGTAGAGAGAGCTGATTCATGGAAGACAGATAGCATTGCACTGTTAGCAGCCTGTTAGAGTTGAGCACACACAATCTGTGTTGGTTTTTTCCCTTCTTTTTTCTATTTTTTAAGTAGTAATATCTGAAGCTGTCCCCAATGGCAGTCTGCATGTGGGGGGTAAAATCTGGAATTCCCTAATTTCTCCTATTTTCTAATAAAAACTATTACTGTACAAATGTAGATTTTCTTTTCCCCCCTTATTTTAAATCGGAATGGTTTTAAGGGGGTGCTTTTTGGTGTAGCCTCTGAAAGTTGGGGTCCCCTGGTGATTGTGATCACAGTCTCACTGAAAGCACTTGGGTTTGTTTTTTTGACATCAAATTAATATTCTCATCACTAAGTGTGAAGTAAAGATTTGACAATAGAGCAGCTTCCTCTTTGTTAAAAACTTGCAAAGAGTTTCAGAGTTGAAAGGCTGGGTAAATCTTTATATCTGAGGAGGTAAGCTTAGTGTTATTTCTTGTTTTTAACAGCGCTGTACTGGCGAGCTGCAAGCTGTCTGAACATTGGAGAGAGACCCTTTGGGAGCTCCATTGGTTTTCAGCAAGTCTTTGCATGCAGTGTGTTTGTACTAGCTGAAGACAGCGCATGGCTCTCTAAATAATTTACAAGTTG